GGTTAAGTTTTGGTAGATAGGAAAAACCTGACAGATTGAAAGGTAAGGCTGCAAGGTACAAAAGACAGGCTAGGTGGAGAGCAGAACAATTTAACCAGGCTTGTCCAGGGACCAGGAAGTTGGAGAAAAAGCCAACCAGGAAGCCAGAGTGAACATGTAAAGTTAGAGTATTCAGTTCTCTACTCAAGGTACTAAGGAGGAGAGAAATCTTTTGAACAAAAGAGAGGCAGCCTTCAAAATCAGTTCTAGGAAGATCGATCTGGTGGCTGAAGATGGGCAAATTAGAGAGGGGGAGTAAGAGAAGAGAGAGAGAGAGAGAGAGAGAGAGAGAGAGAGAGAGAGAGTGTGTGTGCACTTGGGTGCTCAGGTAGACCAGATGTCTGTGCTTGCTTTCATTTTGTTAGAAAAGAATTAGTGCCTAACTCTGGTCATGGCAGCAAGAACAGAAATAAAAAGACATATGTAAGAGAGGTCTTGAAGGAGAAATTAATAAGACTTATAAATTATTCTTGAGGCCACAAAAACAACCACCAAAGCAAAGTCCACAGTGTTTGAACCCATTGACTAGGAGAATATTTTTTTAAAGTGATGTGGAGATGATAGGATGAAGGGGTGAAAGGGCTGTATTTTCAGGAAAAGATAAGAAACTCAGCTTTGGAAGATCTGCCTTGATGTAACAGGAGGCAAAAGTATATTCCTCGGAAGGAGGTGTGTGTGGGGGGTGGTGAGGGTTGAGGATTGAGTGGGGTTGGGGGGATGTCTTACCTCTAGTGATCAGGTGGGAGTTTCCTGCAGATATAAGACAGCCAGCACTGTCTGAATCGATGGTGTCTTCGAGAGAGAGCAGAGTCAGAAGGTTGGCAATACCAACCTCTCGAAGGCAGTGGGAGGGAAGAGTAACACAGGCTCACATGGGGTACCAGACCCCATGAGGAGACAGGGGAACTCACCCACAGAAGTGGATCATGACCGCAGCGTGGAAAGAATCCGAGAGGCAGCAGAGCAAGGTGAGATGCCTGAAGAACACTTTAAAGCAGCAGTCCCAGTGACGCTCACTGAACATTGATCCATGACAGGAAGCCTCAACAGAGGCAGAGAAAATTCTAGAAAAGTCCAAACAGAAATCATGGAGTGGAAGAGTAAGGCAGTAGGAGGACTCAGGAGCAGTAGAAGGAGCCAAACTCAAACAGAAAACCATCTCAAAAAAGAGGAAAGTAAAAAACCATCGAGGGGCCCAGAGAGTTCAGTGGGCTGGCACATGCTTTTTGTGCAAAAGGCCCAGAGTTTTTGTTTGTTTGTTTGGGGGGGTTGTTTTGTTTTTATTTGTTGTTGGTTTGGGGGCCACACTCAGCAATGCTCAGGGGTTTACTCCTGGCTCTGCACTCAGGAATTACTCCTGGTGGTGCTCAGGGGACCATATGGGATGCTGGAATCAAACCCAGGATGGCGGTGACATGGAAGGCAAATGCCCTCCCCGCTGTACTATGACTCTGGGCCCATGAAGAGCTTTCTGGACACATAGCAGGCAAAGAATTTCATCGCAACTGAGGTGGTCTGCCGGGAAAGCCTTCAAGGACTTTTCTGAGAGGAAAATGACCCTGACTTGGAAGAAGACACCTAAAAACATAAAACGCCGTAGAGAAGGAAAGCAATAATGAGACTCTGTCCTTAAGTTTCTTGTGTATCTTGTTCTGAGTGTTTTTTGTTTGGTTTTGGTGTTTTGAACCACACCTGGCTGTACTCTGGGCTTACTCTTTACTCTGTGCTCAGGGATCACTCCTGGCATTGCTTAGGGAACCGTATGTGATACCAGGGACTGAATCCAGGTTGTGCTTTGTTCAAGTCAAGCACCCTACCCACTGAAATACCTCTTTGGCCCCTCTATTCTCAAGTTAAATGATTTTGTTTCTCATTACCTGCATTTTGTTAAGTTTGGAGAGTTTTAAATTTCTGATATTGTCTTTTTCAGTTCTGAGTTTTATATTTCATTCCCTTTGAACTGATCTCTTTCTGTTGGAACATCTTGGGACTTGCCAGGTTTCCCTTCTTTACTTTCTCAGTCTTGCTAGAGATTAATCAATTTTGTTTACCTTTCAAAATGTCTTTTTGGTTTCATTGGTCCTTTTCTGTCATTTTTCTGCTCCCAGTGTTGTTGGCTTCTCATAAGTCCTCTTCCACTTAAACGTCGCAGACTGTCCTCTGGCTCTCTGGGGGTGGATCATGAGTCTGAGGATTATTTGTCTGAAGATGTTCTTTTAAAATTTAAAACAAAAGTCAGCCTTTAGGCTAGGGATGCGGCTGAGTGGTAGAGCACGCGCCTCTCAGGAGTGAGCCGGTCCCGTCCCCCACAAGCTTTTAATGTTTGCCTCTGAAAGCCCCTTGCAAAATATTTTGTTCATTGGTTTTGTTTGTATGGAGACCACACATGGTGGTGATCAGAGCTCACCCCTGGCTCTGCACTCAGGGATCACTTATGGCGATGTTTGGGGGAATCATCTGGGGTTCTGGGACTTGAACCTGGGTTGGCACCATGAAAGGCAAGTGCCTTGTCCATTGTACTATCTTTCTGGCCTATACTCCCTCCCTCTGGCTCCCTTCAAAATATTTTAAAATAGTTTCTTGGCTGGAGAGAGAGTAAAGGAATAAGATAAGGCATTTGCCATACATGCGGTTGGCCCTGATTTGACCCACAGAACCACCAGGAATGACCCCTGAGCATAGAGCACCACAGGGTATGACACCAAAAAGGGGGTGGGGGGGAATGATTTCTTATTCTTTTTGCAAAACCTTTCCCCTTTCTTTTATCGGTGGAATAGAAGTATATTGTTTAATGTCTAAGAAATTTTGTGGCATTTCACTGTTTCTGATTTGTGGTTTAATTCTATCAAGGTCTGAAAATATGCTTATATGAATGAAGTTCTTAAAAATATTCCTAAGTGTGGAGCCAGAAAGAGAGGACAGCAGGCAGGGCACGTTGCCTTCATGCAGCTGACCTGGCTTCATCCCCAGAACCTCCTAGGAGCAGTGCCAGGAGGGACCCTTGAGTACACGGTCCTGAGTAAGTGCTGAGCACGGCCCAGTGTGGCCCCCAAACCAAAATCGACAAATAAGTAAATAATTATTTTTTAACTTGGAAAAGAAATGAGTAAGATGAAGGACGAAGAGGGATGGGACCCCCAACCCCCCCCAACCTGGCAAACCATCAGAAACTAGAGGAGGAGGAGGTCACAGACCCCCATAAGCACAGAAAACAAGTTCCTGAAGGAAGCCATGGTCCTCGGTGTCAGACGCTGCTGCCCAGAGGTCGAAGACAACAGGCCAACTTGAAGCCGGCAAGTAGGAAGGCGTTTGCCTTGAAGGACAGAGTCCTTAGTGAGTGCTAAGTGTGAGAAGATGGATTAGGCATGAGTGGAATAAACAGGGATGTGAACCATGGGTGGCTGGTGAGAGGAAGCAAAGAATTTGGTGGGCGGTTGTTGTCTTCCGAGTGGATTGGGGAGTGTATGTGTGTGTGTGTGTGTGTGTGTGTGCGCGCGTGCGTGCACACATGCGCGCGTAGCAAATGAAGATGGATAAATGAAGATGAGTAAAGACTTGCTCTCATGGATTGGTCAAGCCTCACTCAGTCCCTCACCGCCCAGGGGTGCGGTAAATGGACATCACCCGCGAAGATCGCAGTGGCAGTGGGGTTTGGGGCCAAGTAGGGCAGGAGGACTGTGACAGTAGGGGGACCTCTGAGTGTTGGAAGGGGAGAGCGAAGGACGTGGGACTGGAAGGCGAAGGCGGGCTCAGAGATGGGTGGAGAATGGGCACTGGCAGAGGGATGGGTACTCGATCATTGTATAACTGAAACCCAAGCACAAAAATCTGTAAGTCTGCAACTGTACCTCATAATGTTTCACTAATAAAAATTAAAAAAATACAAAATAAAAAAAGAGATGGGTGGAAATGAAGCAAGTGAAAATTGGGGGCAAGGCCCCGACTTCTGCACATGGCAGAAGAGGGTTCTGCGAAGGGAGGGAGAGTGAGTGGGGGTGGCGTGGTGCAGAGGTGCAGGAGAATGTGAAGCCCGCTCAAACAGGAGGGTGTCAGAGACTCAGACACTAGGATGGCTTTGCCCTGTGGTGCTTGCCCGAGGCCCCACTTTCCTTGTGCTTTGTTACGAAATGTGTCGCCATGGCAGCTTAGAAAAACGGGCTTCTTCCTCATCTGATTTTTTTTTTTTAATTTTTCCTGAGTGCCGTGACCAGGAATCTGGACTCATTTCCAGGATCAGCATGGTTGCAAATGGCCCGGCCACTTCTGGGGTTGGGTTCTTCCCGGTGGTTCCTCAGGGGCTCTAGAGCACAGCGAGGACATTGGCAGGAAACAATAGGCAACTGATAGACCCTGTATGAAATCTAGCGAATAAAAGGACCTGAGAACTGAGCTCCCCAGGCTGCCACCCCAACGGACAGAAGGTTTAAGAGATGGAAAATGAGGAGACGGTCAGCCATGCTCTGGCCCCACCAAGTTCATTAGCCGTGACTAAGATGCTGGCGGGTGGTTGTGGAAGGCGAGCGGGTGAGCAAGTGGATTCAGGGTGAGAGCGGTTCAGGGAGCATTTTCCTCAGTGAGAGAGAATCTGGCAGGGCCGGTGCCAAGGAGTGTGTCACGTGTTGGGACAACCCCATACCTCACAGTTATCTCACAGCTGCCTCAGTTACCTCATGGCCCTCTGGGCCGCAGCCCACCTCAGACCGTTTCTGTCACTGGCTCCAAATGAGGAGCCTGTGGACGCGGTCCTGGCAGCCGTGTGTCAGCCGGTGACTCTCTTCCTGAGTGCGTCGCGTCCTGGTGGCAGGACTTCGAAGTCCTTGACGCTGCAAACCGCGTGGCTGGGTGGGGTTGGATGAGTCTCTTTCCACCCTCGCGTGGAGGTGGTGGAGGGAGACTCCCTGGGTCCCCCCCCCCACCCCGGCGCCAACTGACCGGTCTCTCTCCACCTTCCTCTTCCCCAGGTATGGCCTCGCAGGTGCAGGTGTTCTCCCCTCACGCCCTTCAATCAAGTGCCTTCTGTAGTGTGAAGAAACTGAAAGTCGAGCCGAGCTCCAACTGGGACATGACCGGCTACGGCTCCCACAGCAAAGCCTACAGCCAGAGCAAGCTCGTGCCGCCTTCGCAGCCAGCCGCCACAACCGTCAGCACCTCCTTGGCCCTCCCCAACCCCAGCCTCCCCTACGAGCAGACCATCATCTTCCCAGGAAGCGCCGGGCACATCGTGGTCACCTCCGCCGGCGGCTCGTCGGTGCCGGGGCCCGTCCTTGGCGGGCCCCACAACCTGATGCGTCGCAGCACTGTGAACCTCCTGGACACCTACCAAAAATGCGGACTCAAGCGCAAGAGTGAGGAGCTCGAGAACACGAGCAGCGTGCAGATCATCGAGGAGCACCCGCCCATGGTCCAGAACAATGCCAGCGGGGCCACGGTTGCCACGGCCACCACCTCCACCGCCACCTCCAAGAACAGCGGCTCCAACAGTGAGGGCGACTACCAGCTGGTGCAGCACGAGGTCCTGTGCTCCATGACCAACACCTACGAGGTGCTGGAGTTCCTGGGCCGCGGGACCTTCGGGCAGGTGGTCAAGTGCTGGAAGCGGGGCACCAACGAGATCGTGGCCATCAAGATCCTCAAGAACCACCCGTCGTACGCCCGGCAGGGCCAGATCGAGGTCAGCATCCTGGCCCGGCTCAGCACCGAGAGTGCCGACGACTACAACTTCGTGCGGGCCTACGAGTGCTTCCAGCACAAGAACCACACCTGCCTGGTCTTCGAGATGCTGGAGCAGAACCTCTACGACTTCCTCAAGCAGAACAAGTTCAGCCCCCTGCCCCTCAAGTACATCCGGCCCGTGCTCCAGCAGGTGGCCACGGCCCTCATGAAGCTCAAGAGCCTGGGCCTGATCCACGCCGACCTCAAGCCCGAAAACATCATGCTCGTGGACCCCGCCCGGCAGCCCTACCGGGTCAAGGTCATCGACTTCGGCTCGGCCAGCCATGTGTCCAAGGCCGTGTGCTCCACCTACCTGCAGTCCAGATACTACAGGTGAGCCCGGGGGGTGGGGGGAACCCAGCCGGGCCTCTCTCTCCGCCCTGGCCGTGTGTCAGGAGGAAGTTGGGGGGGGGGCAGTTGTGGAGGGGGTTGCCTGGATGGACCCTCTGCTCCATCTTGGTCGCCAGCTGCCTGAAAGCCACCTGTGTGAGATTGGGGCTCGTTCTCAGATGCCCCGAGAAGGACGGGGTGCCCGGGAGTGGGGCTGTGGTACAAAGGCACAGCATGGCACTAGAGTCTCTTAGAAGGGTGGCCCTGGAGAGGGACAGGTCCCCCCAGCTCCGCTGTGCCCCCGCCAAACTCGAGTGGATGCCCCAAAGACCCCATTCTGAGCAGGAAGTAGGCATGGAAGAGTCAGGCTGGTGGGGAGGGGCGTTCTCAGACACCCACACACACACACCCCAGGAGAGCATCTGCTCCTGACGGTTGAGCACCAAGGGGACATGGGTGCACAGGACAGAAGGCCGGCGGGCGGGAGCTCCGGGGTTGGTGCCGGCTGGTGGAGTCCAAGGCGGTGAGGGGGCTGCCGGAGGGGGTCAGCCTTCTCCTACGCAGCAGGGGTTCTCGGAGTTTTGAACTGCTCCTCGCTGGGGGCACAGGGCCACGCCCTGCAGTGCTCAGGGGAGCGACGGGGTTCAGGCTCCCACGCGTGCCAGGCCCTGCTCCACACACCGGGCCTCGCCACCTTCTGCCTCCAGTTGCCCCAACCCCTGGGGGCCACCATGAAGTGCCCAGGGAGAGGGGCGTGAGGAGAGAGCGCAGCGGGAGAGCTCCGGTCTTGCCTGCATCAGTCTCTGGCATCTGGGCACTGCCAGGATTGGCCCCTGAGCAGTAGTAATGCTGGATGCGGCCCCACAGCCAAAATCTGAAACAAGATATACAGACTGTGTGTGTGTGTGTGTGTGTGTGTGTGTGTGTGTGTGCGTGTGTGTGTGTGTGTGTGTGTTGGGTGGGGGGAGACCCTGTAAGTGCCCACCTACGGGGGGCAGCCACCTCCCAATCCTCCCTGTTTTAGCTTCTTAAAAAAAAAAAAACAACTTTGGGGCCATAACTGGTGGTGCTCAGGGCTTGATACATGCCACTCCTTCCCGGGGCTTACTCTTGGCTCTGCTCTAGAATCACTCCTTGGGGGCTCAGGGGACCATATAGAGTGCCAGGAATCGAACCTGGGCCGACTGGCTGTGTGCAAGGCAAGCTCCCTGCCCGCTGTACTTTCACTCTGACCTCTCTCTCTCTCTCTCTCTGTCTCCCTCCCTCCCTCCTTCCCTACTTTAAATGGACAGTAGCTGGACGCCCATCTCATCTTCCCTCACTCCCAACCTCCCAACACAATAAGCTGGAGGGATAGCACAGCGGGTAGGGCGTTTGCCTTGCACGGGGCTGACCCGAGGTCGATTCCCGGCATCCCATATGGTCCCCTGAGCACCGCCAGGGGTCATTCCTGAGTGCATGAGCCGGTGTGACCCAAAAAGAAAGAAAAAAAAAAGAAGGTATTCCTGGGCTGAGAAAATCAATGGGGGAAGGAAGCAGACCTTCTTTCTCCTGGTGAGTGGAAAGTGCAGAGCTGGGCCCTTTTATGCATTTGGTGCTGTTGTAAGTCACAGCCCCCCCACCCAAAAAAAAGGAGAGGAAAGCCGCTCCTGGAGCGGGGTCAGGCCTGACTCAGTCCCCCTCCCCCACCTTCCCGGCTGCTGTCTTCCTGTCCTATATAATAAATAAATCTCTGAGAGTGCCACCAGGAGAGGGAGAACATACTTTCTCAGTGGGAAAGGAAGAGAGAGATTTGTCCACCTGCTGTACCCGGAAGAGGCAGCAGCATTTCTGTGAGGGTGTGTGTGTGTGTGTGTGTGTGTGTGTGTGTGTGTGTGTGTGTTGTGTGTCTTCACAGGGAACAAAGGCAGCTGTTCCCCTTAATCCTAATGCGTGCACGTCCCCTTCCAGCTTGAAGGTCAGCGGCATAGCTAACTGTCAGGTCTCGCGGTTCTCCAGCTCTGCTGGGAAAAAGAACCAGCCCGAGAGCTGGTCCCAAGCAGAGGCTTCCGCCAGGCACCACAACGCACACCCCAGCTTCCTGTACTCAAACGCCTGCTTCCATGTGAACGCATGCATACACATAGACCCCAACTCGCCACTCTATGCACACGTGTACACACGTGAGCGCGGAGACCCGCATGCTCCAACTCTGCCCTACACACACGGGTGTACACACATGACTGAATGCAAGCTCACGCACACTCCAGACCCCTATCCTGCACACAGCACTTTCAGAGTATTGCCGGGGATAAAGGATTTATTCACTGTGGGGGCTCGTTGGGGTGGTGGCAGCCTCGGGCAGAGGTGGGTCATCTTGTTCGCTCTTGTTACCACCCCACCATTTCCCTGTTGGTCCTAGAAGCCGCTCAGTGCAGTGGGCAGTAAAGGCAGGGTACCTGGCAGTAAAGACCGAGGCACTTCCACTCTCCACCTGACCTGCAAACTGAAACCAAGAGCAAATGTTTAATTCTCAAGAGAAGGAAAACTCGGGGCCCAAGAGATAGCACAGCAGGTATGGCGTTAGCCTTCCACACACCCCCGACCTAGGTTCGATCCCCCTCACCCTATAGGGTCCCCTGAGCCCACCATTGAGGGATTCCTAAGTGCAGAGCCAGGGGGTCAGCCCTGCTCACAGCAGATGTACCCCTCCCTCCCCCCACCCCACCACTACCGAAAAAAGGAAAAGGAAAACCACATGCCAGTCAGGCAAAAAATGTCAGTGACTAAAATGTGTAGAATTTTTATTCTGCGGATTGTTCAAAATACTCTTTGATGGGGGGGGGGGGGCGGCGGGCGTGGGGAGAGGGGAGATTCTCCAGGCCATGTGTGGTGTCAAAGACCATACCAGGGCTCCTGCATGCAAAGCGGGCACTGCAGTCCTTTGAGCCATCTCCCCAGCTTCCAGAACATTCTTCCCCAGACTTGGTACAAAACCTGTAAGGCCATTATTTGGACCTTCTGAAAATGAACCCGGAAATGTCGGGTACAATGAATGACCGGTGACCGTCGCCCATCTTTGCCTGATGCCTTTGTGCAAGATTCCCTGATGGTTTTAGGAGGATGGACAGGGATGTGTGTTGATGTGTACTTGTTGCGGCTTCATGTATCCATCCTCCTTCCCTTCCTGTTGCTGCAGTGACCATGGGGGCCTCTCCAGTTCTTGCACGACTGCAGCCTTTAACTGTGACACAGACGGGGCTTGTAGACGCAGTGGAGGCACACAAGCCATGGCCGTGGTGCCGGCTGGGGTCACTGTGGTGCTCAGACATGTGTACCAGACGCCAGACTGCCTGGCTGTGGTGCTCGCTCGAGAACATGCCCTTCTCATGTTGCTCCCATACCTCTGTAGGCGGGGTGACTGGAAATCACCTGTGGCGCGCGTGGGGAGCACTAGGGGTTTGAACTCACGACCGCATGGTCACACAGCAGCTGAGCGGGAATTTCAAATGTCCCCAGGCTGTTCCTCTGGGCCCAGGGAGTCTATTTCATCCCGTTCGAATTATCCAGTCTTCTCTGGGTGCCTGCTTTAGGCCTTGTAGCTGTACCCAGGGGTTTGGAAGTGAGGCTTGATCTCTGATCGGGAGGCATTTCCTGTCTATCTGAGGAAGATTAAAAAGCACTCACAAACTGTCAGGCGTGTAATTCTGATGCTTTGATATCGCAAATGTTTGATCACTCGGCAGATATGCATCGGGACTCTAGGGACCCAGCGAGGAGCAGAACCAGTTAAGGAAATTCAGAGTCGATGAACGACTTAGCAGGATGAGTTAATAGGGCAGACCGCTCGAGCCTCAGCCAAGGCGAAGGAAGGCAGGTCTCATGGGCAGGGTGCTCCAGGGACTGAGGGAACTCACGGAGCCCCTAAGGCCAGAAGGAATTGGGGGCCTCAAGAGGGGACACCGGCCGTGGGCAGGCTTGGGTTAGAAAATCAGGCTTGGATGAGAGGGATGAGTGGGGAGGCAGGGCAGGAGGGGAGGCACACACATATTTCGGCATTTTGATGTAGACTGAAGGTCCGGCTGTAACAGTGGAGTTGTTCTGGAAGGTAAATGTAATTCATTCGCCTGAAAAGGAAACTGAAGAAAGTCACGAGCCCGGAAGCTAGGAGGCAGTGTCTTTGTCCACTGATAAAGTCCTAGATTCTTTGTATTTGAAGCCAGGTTTATAATGGGGGTCCACGCCCCTTCACCCCTACCCCAAGTATCAACGTGAACACTTTGGTGCTTTTCACTCATCTGCTCCTTCGATGTCAGGAAGGACGGAAGTTGGTGTCTCTGCTCAGCCAGGCTGGTTTCTCTCGTGCACAATTCTCAGCCTGGCTCCCACACCTCGTGCCTGTTGAGTCCTTGGTCCTGGCGTCCCTGCGTCGTGATTGGTGGCCCCTTGGCTCTGAGCCCACTGCAAGCTGATGCTTGAAGAACATCATCCCGTGGGCCTTGGTTTATGAGATGCTCAGATCTGCAGGTCCGTGGCCAGGGAGCAGCTTTCTCTCTTGCGGCTTGACCCCAAGCTCGTGAGTCCTCCACAGCCTCCAATCTCTCCCCGAGCAGGGAACGTGGCATATTCCCAGACGCTGTTCTCTGAAGTTGTTGCCAAAAGAGGGCGGGGGTGGGCACATGACTTCGCACGGCCTTGAGTACAAGTAGGTTTGACGTTTGCATAGTGGCTGCTGACCCGCTGAGTGCCCAGGGGGCCTGAAGCTGGGTTTGAGGGAGAAATGCGCCAAAAGCGATGGCACTGGGGCCCTTAGCTCTGCAGAGTCTCAGTCAGGGCCACCTTCACCCCACTGCCCAACCTCATCTGCCCAGGGAGGTGATGACGAGTGTGTGGATGCTCCCGGGCTCATTGCTCTCTTTTCGTACAAGGGGGAGAAGTAGCAGTTCTGGGGTGATAGAAGGACTGACTGTATGGGAGAACTGAGTGTGTGTGTGTGTGTGTGTGTGTGTGTGTGTGTTACTTGG